AAAAAAAAAACACTAAATTAGGAAATTCATTGCAAAAAAGAAAAGAACATGATAATTTTTCGTTGTGGCTGTGCGGTGAACTTAATAAATTAATTTAAATTAATTTTTTCCATTTAAAAAATACTGTATATATATATATTATAATAAAATATATAGTACATATATATGCATATACTGTACGTATATCAAAAAAAAAAAAAAAAACACGTTTTTAATCTTGTTATTAATGAAAGAAACCTTGATTGTCCATCTAAAAGTTTTAGAAAAAAAATAATAATAATAATTAACGGTTTCACGTAAAATAAAAAAAACGCGTATCATACGTTTGATAAAAAAAATCATATTTTTTTTTTATGACAATAGTAATCAAAAAAAATGAATGTCTATCAATAATGAAAATAAATGCATGGTGGAAAAATGATGACAATAATATTTATGTTATCTAAGTTATTATGTGTTAGATAAATACTTTTTTCGGGATATGTTATAATAATGAAAAGAGATTCAATAATGGGTACAGATCAAGGTAAATAATAATGATTAATTTAGTTTTATTCATTAAAAAATAAAGTTTTTTTTTTAGCTAGTTTGCAAATCTTAAAAAAAAAAACTATATAAAAAATTATTCCATTAAAATGTGTTTTTTTTTTTCTTTTGTAACAATTACTTTATAAAGAAAAACTTTAAAAAAAAAAGCTCAGTTATACGTTGTTAGATGGTAAACATATAGGTCACAAACCAAAACTCAGTAGGGTCACAGGCCAAAAACTCAAATATTGTAGGTCACAGGCCAAAACTCAAAATTTTCTTATGACTTAAATTATTAACCGAAAGATTTATGGTAACCAAATGAAGTAAAGAACAAATGCAAGGACAATACACAATAAAGTTGAGTAAACCATTCATTCATTCAATGTCTTTTTAACAAGATATATGCTATGAACCCATAATTAGTTGTTACTATTTAAAAAATTCCAAATTCCTAATGATCAATTCTGAAACATTCTGATAGCGTCAACTTCATGTAAACAAAACAATATTGCAAAATATTTGACATTAAAAAATTCCCAAAATTTTTAAACAGATCAAAAGAATTTAAAGAAAGAAAAAGAGAAAATAATATTATTTATTATTAAAGTATTAAAAATACAAGTATTATTGTTGTTAATAATATGAATTTGATAAAAACAACCAAAATATTTAAAACTGTACAAAGAAAAACAATATATTTGGTATATTTTATTATTATTAAAAAGAAGTTATGCAAATCTTTTTTTTAAATTTTTTGAATGCTGAAAAAATGCGAGAATTAAAATAAAAAAAAAAAATTGTTCAAAGTCCATATAAAAAATATATAAGATATAATGCGTCACGTTCCAGAAAAATATATAAAAAAAATATATATATATAATATATCTACAAATGGTTGCCATATGAAAAATATGAAAATGTTGTCAAAATTCAGTTCGCAGCGATTGAAGGATTCTTTCGACCATGATGATTATGATTCATTATTCCATGTGGTTGATGGGAATCTTGTTTAGATGAATAATTTTTAAGGATGTTATAAAGAGCCTTATGTTGTTGCGGTAAGAAAAAATGATGGATTTGGATCTCATGTTGTGTGCTTGAATTATTATTATTATCTGAACCGCAAAGCAATACGAATACCGTCATAAAGAATAATACAATATTCTCAAATAATGAATTTACTATTATAGAATCATCTTTGGTAGCGGCCCAACTTTGTTCGTTTCGAGACATTTTTATTGAATTTTTTGAGTATTAAAAAAAAAAAAAAAAAAAAAAAATATGTAATGATAAAAGGGGATGACTATTTTTTTTTTATGACGCCCATTTTAAAATATATAGTATATATTATTATATAATTAAGTTTTCAGTGCATCTTTATTAAGCATTATAGAAAAAAAATAGTATATTTTTTTTAAACTATTAATATAAAATAAAAAATTTTTTTTTTTATACCTGTATTACTAAAGATAAAGAGGATAATGCAATGTGATACACAATGTAAAAGCAATGATTATACGCAGTAATTAATGAAATTTGGTATTATTGACCAAAATTATACAACAATCTTTAATAGTAATAATTACAGTTATATTATTATTATTCTCAATTCCTTGTTTTTCTTTTAACTTTAAAATGTTACCAAAAAGATCATTGCATTGATTTTAAAATTTTGTTGTATTAAATGATAAGCCTTAGCTGTTTTTAATGATATTAATGATGAATTTACCAATCAAATATTACCACGAAACTAATAAAAACTTTTCCCATCTCCCTGCTACACAGTTGCGTTTGTTCATGCAGGAAATGGAAAATATATTCCGATTGATTGAATGTTTGCTGCTAAAATTTTAACCATGTTCAAATTTTTTACTTTCAACTTTTAAAAAATTCTAAAATCAGATTTCATTAATAAATAATATTTTATAATTTTTCTCATACAATTTAAAGAATTCCCATATAAATGTTATTATGGTAAACCAAAGATATACAAATTACTGCATAGTTTTTTGTATGACAAATTCCACATGGAATCTTTCATATTCCGGTGCACAACTTTATTAATAACACAATTTTTATATTATCGAACCAATTAATAAATTAATTTTATTTTTATTATTAGGATTTTAGATATTGGTGTTATTAATTCATTAAAGTGACATGGATGTACTAAATAAATAAATAATAAATTTAAATTATATTAAAGTTATTCAATAATTTTATTCGTTTCTCGTTGCGAACGGGCCATCATTTAAACACAATTAGATTTGTCATTTTTAAACCTAAAAAATTTTGGTAGTGATTTCCTTAAAAAGTAAATATTTCAACAATTATTAGCGTCTTTTTTAATTACTCTAAATTTGGTTAATTTGTAGAGAAAGAACGCCGCAAAATGACGATTTTTTCTATGTAGATTATATAATACAGACTAATACTCGATTGTGCCACACTGGCTTAAAAGATTGTTCCACAGAAATTGATTATATCCATAAAGAAAATCCGGAATTACAGTTAATGAACTATTCCATACATTCATACATTCATTCCTAAACTTCGGAATTTTACGTTTTCCGTCCTTTTGATGTCTTACCTTATAATAAAAAAATTTTTTTATTCTATGATCGATTTGGTTATTCGATTTTTTCCCACTTTGTAAACTTTGTAGAAAATGCGAGAAGAATTTGCCCACATAATATATAACATCATCGAGCATAATAAACCGTTTTAAAAACGAATAAGATACACTAGCCACAACAAAATCACTTTTGTGTCACGTACCTGGAAATGGCTAATTAAAGTAATTAAAATCAATGAAAATTTATTTTTACTTTGTTTTTCTTTTCGCGAATAAGAATTCTATACAGAAAAAAAAAAGTGCAAACCCTAAAATAATTACGGAATAACAAGTTTTATTACTTGTATTTCGGAATTCGAATTACGCAGATCAAATTTTTTTTTTTCCCTACCGCAAAATTTTTTTAAAAAAAGTCTTAACTAAATTAAATATTTTATTATCAAAGCTTATTATCAAAGCAAAAAAAAAAAAAAAATTATACAAATTGAGTGAATTTTAAAAGCAAATGACATTTTTTTAATTTTACTTAATGAAGTTAAACCATCTTTTTTTTTTTTGAAAATTTTGATAAATTTGGGAATAATAAAAGGTGACAAAGTTTTACCTATTTCTTTCTATTTCTTTCAAGGTAAAAATTTTCATGAGGTTCGTTGAAATTCCCCCTTGAAATCAATTCTAAAAACATCTTAAAATAGAGAATTATTTGCTTGATTATAAATTATTATTATTATTATTATTACTTTTTCATCCCATGATTTTGCGCGGTTAATTAAAACAATTAATTTTAAAACAATAATCCTAAAAATAATTTTTTTTGTCATACACTTTTTACCATTGTATGTGGGAAAAAAAATATTATAAATAATCCCTGACTCCCTGTAAAAGAAAAATGGCTGTGATTCTTTTAATTTATCTTTTGTGTTTATTTTTTGTGATATGAGAAAAACATTTAAATAAAATGATGTAGATTAATTTGGTTAATCGTATAGTTTTGTATAGTTAAAAGGAAAACACAAACTAAAATGATTTTTTTTTTTTGTTTCGGAAAAATGTTTTACTTAAAAATATATACCCAAATTAATTTAAATTAATAATTTATAAGCAGTTATTTAATTATTTCTTTCAATTCTTCTATATAAGTAATTTTATTATTCATATAAAATTCGCGTAAATGACGATAAATTAACCACGCGAAATCTATTATTTGCTTTGATGTTAATTTCAGTTGATGATGTAATTTTATTAGGTAAAAAATTATCGGACTTAACCGTATCATTGTAAAATGTTCTGCGGGTCAAATCAGTCCAATTGCACATGTCAAGAAAGATACATATGATAATTTATCAGTAATGAATAAAAATAATAAAAGGTTTCATTTGCAAAAAAGACTTTCATTTAATTAGAAGATTTAGAATTTCTTTTTGTCCTATTGGACCAATAAAATTCAATTATCCAATCGTTAGTTAAGTTCTATGATATTTGCTTGAACGTATATCTAAAGTTATTATCATTGAAAATAAATCATGCTAGTTAGATTGATTAATCATTAGCTAAAGAATATGAAAAATAAGAATAGTTATTCAAAATACTATAATTCATAAATGTATGATTTTTTTACTAAAATATTCCTTGCTTGTACTGCCTGTTTAAAAAATTAAAGGCCAACATCTATTGATAATAAACAAAATACCTAATACTTTACATATTAAATACAAATTTTAAGTAAATCATTAACTTTTTGGTTTTTTTTTTTTTGATAAATAAAGTTTTTTATTTTTTAAATAAAGCTATAAAAAAGTAAATAAGAAAATTTTAATTATTATTGTAAAATGATTTTACTATGTACTAATATATAATAATAATTACAGTTAGACTTCAATATAGTAATTACTCTCTTTATATATAGTCACAACTTTTATAAGTATTCATTTTTTCCATCAACTTCTTCAGCATCCTTGTCAGACCATTTTCTGAATACCATTTTTCTGAATATACCTTTTCCCAAATCTAATTTTCTGAATGACTATTTCATTTCCTGAAACTCCATTTTACCAAATGCCAATTTCCTGAATTCTTTTATCCTGAATTATTTTATCCCAAATTCCAATATCATGAACCCTGATATTCTGAATGGACATTTTACTGAATTTAATATTATTTTATATAATTTTACATCATAAATTAGAATTATTAATTTCATAAACTTAATCTTTATTTTATTTAATATATTATACTAATCAATAAATTATATATAATATATATAAATATAATATATAATAATCTAACTTGTATTAAAACAAATACAGTCAAACCTTGATATAACGAACCCTTGATATAGTGAATTTTTCAGACAACTATAATAAATTTCCCCTTGCTATAATGAATTAACCAATCAAATCTCTTAAAATCTTCACTATAGCCCTATAGCGAAGTTGAGGTCTGGAACCTAGGGTTCGTTATAACAAGGGTTGACTGTACTTAAAATAAATAATGCAAAAGCAAGTAGGTTTTATTATTCAATTAAAGTATTTGTTTGAAATTTGTATCTGTACCAAATCTTTTTCTCCTAATATACAAATTAATTATATTTACTTGATATTTGGGAAAATATTATTAAACACTTAAACTCAGTAAGTCAGAGAAAAATTTTATTAGCTAAAAATGTAATATTTTCTAATTGATTGTATATTGCCTTATGTTTACTTCATATTTACTTCAATTGATCGTAATACTTATATAGGTAAGGGATACTTGAAAAAGCTACTTTTCAAATTACATATAACATGCATTTATACAATTATAGTAGCAAAGATGCACAAAAAGTAACATCAAATTCATTTGCTAGCAGAAAGTATTCTTCATGAAGAACCTTTCCCATACAAATGCAAGCTGCAAACATCTAATAGATTGTGAAAATTGAATTTTACAGTTTTTAATAATCAGTACTTTAAAAAATTTTTACAATTGTTAATATTATAAATACTGTATATTTAAATAATAAAACTTATAGTTATCAATAGTTCTTAATTTTTTAAATTTATTATATAGTTTATTTATAAATCATATGAAAATATACAGTTTATTATATAATTTAAGAAATTCCATTTAGAATATTAGAATTCAGAATATTAGAATTAAGGATATTTGAATTCGGGATATTGGGATTATTCAGGATATTGGAATTTAGAATTCAGAAAATTAGATTTCAGGAAATGGAATTTGGAAAATAAGGATTCAGAAAATTGTATATTTCAGGAAAATGTTCAATTCAAAAAATTGGCATTCAGGTAAATAACTTCAGGAAAAGATATATTCAGGAAAAAGGCATTTAGAAAATCATATTGTAATCCTTCAGTATAAAAGTTAGCCTTTCTTGCTTTCTTATGAAGTCTAAGATTCTTTTGCTACCAACTTTTAAATCAAAAAAAAGTACCTAACAAACTTTATTTTTAGCAGTTCTTTTGATATAACTATTTTAAGAAACCATATATAATAAAACTTTTTAATAAAAATAGCATTTTTTTATATATATTAAAATCTTAAAGACTTCTTTTATTAAAGATCAAGTTTATTTAAAATAATATAAAATAAATTATTTATGTTATTTTTATTATGTCTATGATGAAATATATATTGATAAATTTAATCCTTATTCCATTCATTTTCTACTATTTTTTTTAATTTGTTCTATTTATTTATTATTTAGATATTCAGAATAAGTCACTAATGGTTTTAAAAAACTCCTTTTTTCAGGTTTAGTTTCATAACATACTTGTTTTGACTTTTTTATTAGTGGCTTATCTTTATCTATAATTACTACTTGAGGTATCAAATTAGTTAACATCTATTAATTAGAAATAAAATTTTCTGTATTTGAATTCAATGTCATTTGGTTTTTCTTTTTTTTGAATTTTGGTCATTAGGTTTTTATCTTGTAATTCCCAATTTTCTCCTTCCAACTTTATTACTTTTTTGTATTGAAATAATATCTTATAGGAAAATTGCTTTTATTCTCAAAATTTTATCAAAAAAAAGTTTTCAAAATATCTAATATTGGGCATCATAATCTAATTAGGAGAAGTAGTATTTCATAAAGGATTTTAATAACAATTATAATCAGAATATTCAAATGCTGATAACTAGTTTCACATGATCATTTTATGGGTATCTACAGCTTTTTATCTAATTGATCTATAACATCAGGAAATTTGTTTAGGCGTAATTTAGTGTAATATTTTGGAGGTGGTGTAAAATTTCAAAATATTACACTAAAAACGTAATATTACAAAAGTTTACGGTATTTCAGAAAGTTATGTAGTATGATTGAGAATTTTTGTATAGTATGGTTAAAATGATCTATGTATGTATGATTTTAAAGTAGTATGTATGATTCATATTTATACATACAGTCAACCCTTGTTATAACGAACCCTAGGTTCTAGACCTCAACTTCGCTATAGGGCTATAGTTAAGATTTTAAGAGATTTGATTGGTTAATTCGTTATAGCAAGGGGAAATTTATTATAGTTGTCTGAAAAATTCACTATATCAAGGGTTGATTATATAAAAAACAAGTATTGTATGGAAACCGATGTATGTATGTATGGTGTTACAAACTGTTACATGTATGCTATGTATGGTAATGATTTCGTACATGTATATTTATCTCGAACCAGAAAATAAAGTATGACCGTATGATTGTATAAACAACATTTTTTTCACATGATTGTGACTTGGCTCTTTTTTTTCTCAAATTTTTTGAAACGAAACTATGTTTATTTTTTTATTTTTTTAACAGATTTCTGGTAAGTGGTAAGAGTTTTATTTAAATTTACTTTTAAAAACGATATTAACCCATTTTTTTTATTTCTTCTTAATAAATGTGTAGTTGTAATGACGCGATGTTAATGACATTTTGAAAAGACTAGCACCTTATTTTTTTAGGGTTCAGAGTTTCCTTTGGAACGGAACTATTAAGGTAAGCATCTTTGTGTTGGTATAAAGTGGTTAACGGCATTATGAAAAAACATTAATGCCTTTTTTCCTGTTTTTCCGATTTTAAGTCATTTGTTGGGATTTTGAAACAAATGTTTTAAAGAATTTTCGGGTAACTTTTAGTGTAAGAAGTTGTTTTTTCTTCCAGCAACATTATGGATTTTTAAGGAATTGCATGTATTCCTCTTTAATGGTAATTGAAGAGAAAAGATTCTTTTTATAAGAGATTTCAAGGCACATGTAGAAGTTATCATTTCTTTTAGTGATGTCATTAATATTATTAATATTTCATTTACCTTTATTGTATTAGATTGTTGGCGTATTAAATAAAATTTTTTTTTCGATATATTCTTGTATATATATAGTAATATATTAAATTTAGTTACATTAATTGATAAGACGTCATTGATGTGTTACGAGATCAGATTTTATTGTATCGATCTAATATAAATAAATGAATTTCCAATATTTTTGACATTTTTCGCACTTAATTTGATCTGGGAAAAAGGTTAGTAAATAATTTACTTACGGAAAATGTCTGTTTCAGGAAAAAATATTTTTGGGGGTGTGAAAGTATTTGTTTGCTGATTTATTAACTATCTAATCAAATAGTAATTTATGTAGATAATTGAAAAATTTCCCGCAAGTTAACAATTTAAATGAAAATTTCCTGCAAATGGGTGGTCCAATCTGTTAGGGATGGGAGTTAATTGAATCTTCAGAATCTCAAATAGTAATTAGGCACTTTGATGGTATATTTTTTTAATTGAGAATTTTTTTATTTAACTATAATTGGGTTTTTTTCACGTTAAAACGATTAATAAAACTAATTTTTATTCCTTTTTTATCTTTTTAAACCATGATTTAGCTTTTTAAGTTAAATTCATAGAACTAGTACATACAACA